AAAAAAGAAGAAGAAGAAGAAAGAAAGAAAGAAAAATGGAACTTCAATGAGTAAAATTGTTACTGAAACAAATGACATTTCCCAAGTATGAGCCTATACCATCTCAGCAGACAGGTTAAGATCGTATGTCTTGTAAGTTGGCCAGAAACCCGTGGTGAGGACAGTAACTGTCAAGTCAAAGCCTGGACTAGCATGTGGGTTATTGGTGAGGTATTCCTCAAAGCTTACTTGATTCTCCCTAGCTAGTGCCAAATCTGTGACCTGGAATATTTGAAGCATGCGAGCAATCAAGAACACAATGCAATATGCTTACCCAGAATCGAGATGAGTAAATAGTACGATTGGGCTCACCATTCCCTCCATTTTTGAAGTGAACTGGGCACCACATTGCTGCTTCAACTTTGTCAGGATACTTCTTTCATGTTCGTCATTAGCACTTTTATCAAACAACAGGCGGCGTGAAAGCTTCTTCCTGCCACGACACAAGAGCAGTAAAAGCATTAAGCAGAGTCTATTGGTCAACATAAAAGCTAAAAAAAAAAACTCACCAAACTTACCTGTAAAACTCCGCAAATAAATCCTTGTCACTGATGTATGCAAGAAGTTTAACTACCTGGAAAAATAGGTTTCAATTACTGCATTAAAATATGCAACAATTAAAAAATACAAATGCACACTGCAATTTGCACAAAAAAACACACCTTCTCCAAAGTGTCTTCAATAGCTTCGTCACTCAATTTTTCACTTCCACCTTTCTTGAGAATGTTATCACAAAACGTCGCAAGAAGATCGGCGCTGGAATTTCCAGCAACGCCTTTGTTGCAGAAGATTTCAAAAGCTTCCTTAAGAGCCTGTATAAAAAATTTGGAAATCACAACTTGAGCGGACAGGTTAAGTTGAAAACTAGAACATGACGCCAATGTGATGATCCTAACCTTGTGGAATAGAGTGTGATTTACAAAGCAGTCATTCACATATGCCATGTACTTGTCATGGAGCTCAATAACATTTCTTACAAACACCTGGGAAGTACAAATTTGAATTAAAAGTCATTATGTGAAACCATACAAAATAAAAGGAACAGTTAATAAGTTACCTGTTCCTGCAAGCCGACAACATCTTTCTTTTCAGCCTGCACAAGACATCCTCATATTAGTAACATGCAGAATGAATCAAATTACTGACGGAGAACATTGAAATCATATATGTATTATCTAAGTGTTTGAACTGTGCTGTCTACCATGACAATGATTTGCCGATGAAATCATTATTGTCTCACGTCCTCTCAACATGATCCATTATTTGGAAAATTATGTTTCAAGGATTGAGTAAAGTTCTTTTTCTTTCTTTCTTATCTAACAGTAAAGATCTAATCCTCAGAGAACTGGACATTATGACAACTGCAATACATGATACATCATAATAATTTCAAGAGTGATCGTCTTCACAAAGTTTCACACAAAATCCTGCAAAATTATGGATACCTAAAACAACACATAAATATTCCACACCGCATAGTAGAGGTTGTGATCGTCTCCCTCAACTTTTTGATGCACCACTTAAATTGTCAAAGACTCACTTCTATTCATAATTCTCCACTACATCCAATAGACAATCAATATCCAAAAAATAAGAATTTTCACAAGCTATACAAATCAGTACTTGCACTAGTTGTTGCTATACTGAGGTTATATACAAAGAGAATACAAAATCGAGTATATAATATAAATATTATTGTTAACAAACCTTCTTGTTGCTTGCAGCATCTTCCGCTTGTTTAACCAAGTAAGTACCTTCACCAGTAACATGCTATGCGCCGGAATTTCAGAAACCATTGTATGTTAGCATTTAAATCCATGTACAGCTTGGCAAAGTCAGCATAGTATATAACTCTAGTCAGGCACTGAATTTATGAAAAAATCAAAACCATCGCTCACCTGCTTAAAGATATTGGCTACGGGTTCTAAGCCTCTGGGTATTTTAGAAAAGAGCCTATACATCCTCGACAAATCCTCCACCTAATGCGTGAATAATTAATAAAGTTTAGATGTATGAAAGAAAAAAAGAAAACGCAAACAGAAGACGAACGAACGTCCAAATCGATATATAATCAGTGATTTTACTGTTCTAAGTACCTTGTCGTCTTTAAGTAACGCATGACAACCTGAGTGCTCCTTCTCTAACAGTTGGGTGGCATGAACCGACAACAATTCATGTTGTACTTTCTATCAGAACAAAAACAAAGATCAAAATGGTGAGAGATAACAGTATTGAATCAGATAAAGCACATGATCATGAGTAAGCATGACAGACATTCCAATTCTTGAGATCATCTAGATTTGATCATGTGAGAGAAAGAACTGACCTCAAGCAACTTTGTCTCACTACTAGAGTGAAGATAATGAGAAACCCTATCCTTTTCACGTTTTAAACACTCTTCAGCCTGCATTTTTCAAATAGTTAGTTAGCAACCACGAAAAGAAAAATCCACGGTAGTGGCACAAGAAAACTTACTTTCGACATATAGTCAGGGCATGAATCATCTAAGATCCATTTAGAAGCCTTCCGTGAATAGTAAGCAGCTGTGCCATTCAACATTGCTTCTTCAAAATCATTCTCATAATAAGTCATCTGCCCCATACCAATTTCAACAAAAATATCAAGCACATTCTTCAATAGGGCTCGATCTATCAGCTCTCCTTCCCTCTCTTGGTCAATCTAGAATGAACAAACACATTAGAATTTCACGAGGAAAACAGATGGAAGGGTAACAATGATATTAACATACCAACGATATAACAGCATCCCTAGCTTTGCTGTTTAACTCTTGATATACCTGAAATGAAAATTAAGGTTCAAGTTAAACCATAACAAAAAATTTAATATGAAAATGGAAAGACATAAACAATAAGGGGCAAGAAACAAGAAACATGCTGAGATGGAAAAATCTGATCAAATTTCATTTGATCACAATTAGAATTATACAGAAAAGGCAAATGGGATCAGAGAGAACAAGATATCCAGCTTGATGTAGTAAAAAACTTACCAGCTCACGAAAGCATGTCAGACCAACTTCATAAAGAGCTGGAAGTGACCTTCTAGCGATAAAGTACCGATCAAGATAGTGAAAGAATCTCGAAAGCCAACGAACCATGACTTTATGATTCTGCCATCTTTTCACGAGCTCCCTCAACATATATTCACTATGCTTGTCCCTTAGAGAAGGCAGAACCTTCATGAACAGAAAAGCCAAAATGAAAGGCAGGTTATATAGCATTAACCAACCTACAGAGCTTAAGAGAATATACAAGCCCTGATAACAGACTGCAAAACTTTGACCTGCTTCATTTTCATGTGTGGGAATAATATCCTATTTTTTGCTAGAACAGAGAACAAACAGCTAAGGTTTAGATGAGCACCCAGAAAAGTATTTTTTGAGTGCATCATACTTTACAGACAATGAACAAGTAATTTGAATTTCACTTACTGTTGATGTAATGTATTCTTCAAAAGACTCCCGATACTTATCATACAGTTGCTGAGAATAATCATGCGGGGGCTTTTGGGTGCACATGTTATATATTGTCCTGAAATAATAAATCAAGGCAACTTTTAAACAATTGAGGAAAGCAAAGCAGATACCAAAACGATGGATGGATTACGCGGAGTATTGAAATATTACGTGTAGAGCATCATGTAGTCCTCCGAATTGAACTGTGGTTCAGGCAGTCCCTCTAGAATGTTTTTCAGTTTCGTGATCCCTTTTTGCATAAAATCCCATCCTTGTTCTAAATCGATGGTGTTCCTTGGATTCATGGTCATCTCAAGATCCGTACCAGAAATGACAGAGCCCCCACTAGTCTAGTTAAAACCTTTTTTTCCATAAACAAACATAAGATGGAGTACTATGGCCAATCTGTATTAACTATGATGATAAAAAAA